CTCCCAGTGTGTTTCACAAACTCAGCTCTGCAAGGGCTTCCTCCACCTTCACAGGAATCCCTCGCTTCTCCCACAGGAACTCAGGCCATCACTGCCCCATCTCCATTTGCCAGTGGCTCCCTCCAGATGTTCAGTATCTGACTCTGCCATCAGACTGGTTGTTCTGGTTGTTAGGGGAGCCAGGATCATCTTCTGTGAGTGGAGATTATAGGGGCAAGGGAAGGTTAGAGAGCACAGGAGCACAGCTTGCAAAACCACCAAACGTAGGGTTGCATGGCAGGAGGATGGAGGGAAATGCTGGGGCAGTCCTGGAGGTTTTGACATGGCAGAAATGCAGGAGCCCTCAGTGAACAGCTTTGTGGAAAGCTAAAGTCACACTGTGAAGGACAGCAGCACATAGTTCAGTAATAACCAGATGCTAACAAAATGAGGCACTGTTAATACTCCTAGAGGGGATTTCCATTTCAAGCAAAGTAGTTCATTCACCATTTGCCCTGAAAGAGATGGAAGAAGGTTTGAGAATGACCCTCAGGAACATTGTTCTCTTCAGCACTTAGAAAACCTGCCTAATGTTCTGAACAACCATCCTAATCCTGTCATCAGAAATGCCTGAGAGACAGCAAGCCAGCTCTTCCCAGTGCAGCAGAAACAACGCTGCAGTGCACAGAATAATTCTGGTTTGACCTAAACTTCTGTTCCTTTACATGTTAGTCATATTCTGCTACATATTTCTAAACTGCAAATGCTCTTCAAAGACAGTGATGGTTTTACCCAGCACAACACAGATTGGTGAGTAGGTCTCAGTCCATGTTAGCTGGCATGGCTCCACCAGCTAGAGACCAGCTCTGACAATTTGGATGCCAATACATTGATTTAAGCTGCTGTTGTGCTCACACTCTCTGTAATTAATACAGATGGAGAAATTCATGTCCCTTCTGAGCACTGTCCATAGCCATTGTATGAGTCTGTCAGAGAGGAGGTTGCTGTGAACAGAGAGGTGCCAAGCAGACACACACCAGCTGTCCTAGACATGCAGGTTGCATTTAATGAGGTGTGTGGCAAGTTAGTAACTTCACCAGTTACCAAAAGTGTAGCAGTCCCTTCATATGTCAGTATTGGTTTAAAGAATGCAGTGAGATGTCACTGCAACATGGTGGGTGATCTCTCTAAATAGATTATTATCCCTCCTGAATCTGGAAGAACAAGGGATGTCTCCCAGTCCATATTGTCCATAACAGCAACCTCTATTACACCAATTCTGATAATCAAGGTAACAAAACCTGCAGTCCCTTTCACCCCCTCCTGCCCAGGCCATTTATAGTGGCAGCTGGTTACATCCCAGCAGGTCCTATCTCAGAGAGAAACCTGTGGTAGAAAGAAGCTCAGGAAAGGGATAGTCCTAAATAAATCCCTACTGTTTCAATCCTTGAAAGGACAGTAGAAGGGGAATGAGTTGAACCTTGGGGGGGCTGGGAAGTCCCAGCTTCCCCAAGGTGAAATACCAGCAATATGCCTGGCTGGAGTCAGCACTGTAGAACTTAATTTATTTCAGTTTTAGATGCTTGGCTTTTTGCCTTCATCTGAACCTAACAACCAGAGCATGAAATGCTCGCTTTCACATTCAGCACAAAGCCCAGTCTTCACTTTATATCCATTTTTCTTCCCTCCAGTGTTTCTTGGTACAGACGAGAAATCAGAGCCAGCAAAGGGGTTGAAACCAAAGGCAGGTCCTACAGGTTCCAACAAATTTGACAAATTCCTTTTCCCTCTCTTTTCTCCCTCTGCCAAGGGTTTTTCTTGTCACACTACACATCCAGCCTTCCTGGAGTCCACGAGTAATGTTCATCTGCCACAGTGATGGGCTCAGAATCTTGGAGGCACAGTCACAACATCTATAAACAATAAAATCCCTATAGCTGCTATAATCATGTTGTCAGCAATGAGTAATATGTTCTACAAAAAATGCCTAAGGAAGCTGCTAGAGTATGTTGAAGGTGGCTATAAACTCTCCTTCTGAGAACAGTTTCTTGACAGTTGGTCAAAATTTCAACCAAGGAGTTACCAAAATATTCATCACAATTTTCTTTGCCTTCTTAAATTATGTTAGTCATATTAAAATAGCCATACTGTTAGGATGTATTGTGAGGGCAGAATTCAAACTCTCCTCTCCAACACACACTCCCCAGACACCAGGGCTCCTATCAGCATTTTGATAAGCTCATGTCACGAAATTATGTGTCCCTGACTAAAAATTAGTTATTTAAGAGAGCTACTAAAAAATTGGGATCTGTCTCTTTAAATGCTTGACCCTGAGGCAGAAGAGGAGGTGGAGGAGAGAGAGAGGAGAGAGAAAACGATAATCGCTTTAGATAACAACCTGAGTCATGGTAATAGCAGCCTAATTGCTATCCGAGTGCTTTCAGCAGGAAACAGGCACACCTAGAGCAAGACTGGGTTTAAATGGAAGAAGGACAGAGATATAAATGCACTTTTATCTGAATATAGTGGAAAGGAAGAAGTAGTTGTTTATGTAGAAACTGCCTGAAATCCACGAGTTGCTTCAAATAATGGGATGTGGCTGATACGTAATTCATGTGAGAAACAGGCACACTACAGGGCTCAAAGTGAAATGAGCATTTATATTTAGGCAGAGAAAAGAAAAAAACTGTATGTGGGGAAGAAGTGGCTGATGCTATCTTTCCAGAATAAATCAACTTCTGCAATGATTATGATTTTTTATAAAGTAAAATAAAATTAGTAATGTCAGTCTAAGAATACAAAATAAGATCTTTCCTTGAAAGCCAGTATGATTGCAGTAAGTGATTTGCTTGGAAGAAAGCTGTCAGAGAATAGGATGTTTTTTGAGAATGGGATGGTAGTTGATTGATAAATATCAAACATTCCCTTCACATGCATGAGCCTGCTTTTGTACATGTAAGATTTCTTCTCCGCCGCTGTTCTCTGAGCACTGCCCCTGACACAGCAGCTGCAGGAGGTCCCCAGCCGGGTTTGGGCAGAGCTCTTGGTCCCTGCTCGCCAGCTGCCCTCCCTCCTTGCTGCTCCGGTTCTGAGAAACGGGACATGGTGACCAGGTGCTGCCAACGTGTCTGGGGGGGGAAATGAAGGCTGGGCTTTCTGAGTAAGAGACGATAAAATGCTGTTTTGTTTGCGCAGGACGAGGTCCGTGGAGTGGAGAGAGCTGAGCGCAAGAATCGATTGTGCTCTCGGATGAAGGAGTCAGATCTTTCAGCAAGGGTATTGATTTACACATTCAACTCTGCAAGTTGCTTTCCACTACATCTTTTGCAACTGAAACTCAGTGATGTGAATGTCAACAGGCATGAACAAAAGCCCCGTGTTTTGAAGAGCCTGAATCTGTATCTGTAGGTTATAGAAGCTATTACATTTCTGTGCCTTTGCTCTCCTCTGGAAGTAATTTTTCCAGGTTGTTGGTAATGGATGTTGCATGCAGAATGCATGTGTGTGCCTATGCATTACCATGATTGTTATTTTCTCCCAAAAATAGCATGTTTTAAATTATTTGTAAATAGCATTAGATCACAGTCTAGAAATATTGCATGCCAGAAATTATCCATCTTGAATTACTGAATAATAGTATTTGCGTAGGCTGTTATGGCAACAGAGGTATACCTTCTGGATTTAAGCATCACAGGTTCTCATGGAAACTTTGTTTTTTAATACTGCACATTAAGGAAAATATGCTGGGCTATCCCAGTAATCTCTGGAAAAACAACAGCAACAGAATAAACTGACATGTTTATCACCTTACATTTGTTTTTGAAATATACATAAAAACTTGCCTTGAATAAAATACATAAATAAATAAATGGGGGGGGGGGGGAAGCACACAAAGGCCAAAACAACACTGTGGAAGCAATAATATGAAATAATTTTATGAATATTTAGTATAATTTAGTATTTTTGCTAATCTGATACTCAGAACATCAACCACAACCAATGATGGATTGGCATTGTCAATATATTATACATTATGAACACTCAGAGTAGGTACAAACCCTTGTCATGAGGCATCTCTGGTTATTGCTTTTTTCTTCTTTTTTAAGACTTGGTGAAATTTTACAAAATAGGACCTTCTATTAGAAATACATCAAGTTCAAATGACCTTGACCTATGATACAACAATCCTAACAAAAGAAGTGTTCAGTCACGGTGTCAAATGCTCCATTTCAGCTTTTCTTCTGCATTCCAGTGCACTGTTCACATTAATCCAATGGGTTTTGGAGTAGCCCTTTTTCATCAATGTGCAATTCTCGTAACAAAGGTAGATTTTCCTTCCTCTTCTCCCTTTATTACTACTGCTGTCCCCACATGACCCCTCCACAGTGTCAGGTGTGTGAGCACCTGCCAAAGGTGGTGTCTGTCTGTGATCACAGGTCACTGTGCTCATTCTGAGGGTTGAGGTCAGTGCAAAGCACACAGGTTTCACACACACTCAGGAGGATGCTGTGCATTTGGAAACAGAGCTTGTGCTTCACAAAAAGGGATGGTAACTCTTGAAGACACCAATTAAATAATTAGGGTTAGCATGGAAAGAGCTGTTAACTGTCTATCCCTTAATATCTTTAAGAACAAATTATAAAACCTTCTGTGAGGGACGTCCTTAAATAAATTCCTTAAGGGTAGGGAGGTGGACTGGATGACATCCTAAATTCTATATTTCTGTGGCTGTGCCATCACTGTGCTTGCTTGACCTCACATGAGTGTAAGTCTGCACAAGCACAGACCCAGAGGTAGGATGGCAGATGCCAGAGAGAGGAAATTTGAAATGATACATCAAGTATGTGGGGGAGAAAGTGAACACCTGAGCACCTGGAAGAGTTTTATATGCTCTTAATAATTTTTTTTCTGTGAAAATCTTTTAATGTCTGTGGTTCATTAAAAAAACTTTAAAGATAAAAATAACTTACTGGTCCACAATAGGAGCTGCACAGAACAGGAGTACAGGTATTTTAACTTATTTAATATGTACTGAAAGGTTTTATTTAAGTGGTGAATGATAAATCCATTTTTATTAAGCAGAAAGTATATGAAACTAAAAACCAACTTTGAAGAGCATAACTTTCTAACATTCAAACACTAAGCATTAATGTGACTATACTGGGAAATATGCAGAGTAGGCGTGCTCATTTCTGAGGAAACTTTCCCACTGGCTATTTGTAAGAAGCGGCTAATGACAATGTCTTTGGCCTTGACAGTCTCCATGTTCCTCTCCCGTGATATCTGCATGCTGATTTGATCCACGTTAGTCATGATTAGCTCCGAGGCCAGGATCTGGGTGGGGGATGCCCTGTTTGCCGTGCTGTCCATGATGTACTGCTTGTACAGCTCCACCAGCTTCTGCTCCAGGTAGTCGTTCAGGGCGGAGTCGGAGAGGGGCTGCTGGTGGGGCCCGAGGCTGGCCAGCCGCCAGCACGACGAGTGGCCCTGGCCCGGCCTGCGGATGGTGTCACTTGCTGGGGGAGCCTTCACAGACTCCATGGCAGGAGGAATCTCTGAGGACTCCAAGAAGGGGCCAATGCCGCTGTCACAAGCAAAATCCGTCGTGACCGAGCTGATTGGCACCACGTAGTCCCCAGCTATATGCAAGTCGTTGTAGTTCTTGCAAATGCTCTTGCAGGAAGGTGGAACCAGGTAGGTGACTTGTTTTGTCGGCTCCTCACAGACATTTGTAGCTGGAGGTGGCTGTCCTGTGGGTGTTGGGTGCTGGACAGGTTGTGGGAGATTGTCCTTCTGCCTTCTGCTGTGCTTGCTACCTCTAGAGCAGACTGAGGAAATGCACTTGCCAGCAGATCTGCATCTCTGAAGGAGGCTTTTTCCTTGGGCTTCAACTGAAGAATAATTAATGGGCCTCATTTCATACACCCCTTCATCAGGCAGACTCTCATAGAGCGCAGGCTGCAGGTCTTCCCAAAGGTAGGTGATTCTATGAAGGTAACCTTCTGACAGCATCCTTCTCCAAGGGACGGGAACCACCAACAGACACAAAAATGATAAGAAGTAAATTACAAAAAGTTAATTTTAAACTCCCTGAGCTGTGATGGCATTCGTCAGTCTGTTACTAGCTGCAAAGAGATGTCTCCAATTTAGACATGAACAAGAGTGTCTCTGCCTTACCTGGGGACTGGAGCCAATGAGTGAAATGATCAGCCAGTGTCCCTGCTGTGCTGAATCTCACCACAACATATCCTGTATAACACAACCTATGGCACATCCAGTGCATCCAATGGCAAGTGAATTGTGGAGAGAGGGACAAGAAGTCTTTTGTTGTGGAATTGCTGCTGTAATAGCTTACAGTAAAATACATTTGCCCTGGAGTTCATTAAGAAGCCAGGGGTTTCCCCCTTTTTCTCATACGTTTTTAAGAAGCTAGGGGTTTCCCCCTTTCTTTCATATGATTTGAAGCAACTTTTGTTGTATGTGGTTTGTCAGCTGCCTCTGCATTATGATGATTTGAGATTCATATTGAGAGTATCACCCCTTCTGTTCCAGACTAATCAACAACTGTAGGTGTGGTTCCTTTTTCATTAAAAAATATCAGACCATTAAATTTGCACTTTGCACTTCTGCATTGTAATTAGGATAGAATTAATTGTTTCTACCTTTTATATGTGAAAATGTCAGTGGAAAAAGCAAAATGTTTTGGAGGCATGATTCATCTGGCCTGATTTAGACACCTAAATCAAAATTAAATTAATTGTGTCCTAGATTTGCTTATCACTCTCTAGTTGCTATAACAGGATCTTAAACTAGATCCTAGATATAGATATCTGCAGGGTACTTTTGAAAAGACTGATTTCAGTACAATGCATAGGAAAGTGCACATTTTAGAAGTATTCCAGCTCACTCTTTCACTGTGGGATTAGCTGTACCACAGCTCTGGAATCAGTTTTCATTGCATTTCTGCAAAGGCACAGTCGGGTTCCAGCAGTCACTAACTCTCTCCACTCCCTGAGCAGGCAGCTCAGACCCAAAAGCTGCACAGAAATGTTGGTAATTAAAGAGAGGATTTGCCAGCAAGGACACACATGCTACACACCAGTAAATGTTCTGCCCAAGATTTGGCAGCTCTACTACCAAAAAATTGTTTTAAATCCACCTCTGTCTTTTTTTTTTTTCCAAGAGCTGTGAAGGGTACAATCAATGGGAAAGATGTTCTAAAGAAATTGTTTGGTCCAGCAAAGAGAAAGTAGATTTAAAGAAAAAATAAATTAAAATTTAAATTATTAAAATAATTTCTTTCTTTATATACTACAAATGGTCTTTTCTAAGAATGAAGGGACTCTCATTTATTAGTAAAGTTTTCATGTGTCACAGTTGGTGCAAAATGCTGCACTAATAATTGTTGGCTAAATCCTAGAGCATGGAGATAGATTTTGTGTAATAGACATAGATTCCTTATAAATGTTATGGAGGAGACAGTGTGAGAAAATACTTTCCTTGTGGGGAAGAAATCAATTCCACACCATTAAGAAGATTGAAGAGAAAGATTAAGAGAAAATAACCTTCCTTCAGGCAGAAATATTAATGGGAATTAGATGTGTCCAAACACTTGCTTTGGTCACCCTGGATTCTCTCTGTTGCTGACAGTTGTGTGAGATTTCCCACAGGCAGTAACATTTAATTAAAAGTGACCTATTTACATAGAAAGGGGGAAAATCATGTTTGGTGTTTTGCAGTTCTTGTCATATGCTGCTGTTGTCTTGCTTTGGCTTTTAGCTGTAATTAAGGTGCCCCCCCATAGAAATCTTAGCCAAATGTTAGAGCTGCTCAGGTTATCAACTCTCTCTTCTGCTTCTGTTCCCCCCTTTTGCAAAGGCTGTTCCCTTCCCTCCACCATCCATGGCCCAGATGTCTTTATTGCAAAGTCGCCACTAACTGTGACTAGCTTGAATCTGGAACTGTTGTACATTTATTTGTATGTTATTTTTAAGACAGATTTGCAGAAATGGGTGGAAACGTAACATGTAGCCTGTCCACTGCTCAACCAACATAGGCAAATGCAGTTGTGTTCAGCAGCATGTGACACTTTGGTCTTTCCTACTCCCCAGATGTGAGTTGTTTCTGCCATAAGGTGCTACATAAGGGAAATGAAACCATTGGTTTCATTTCTTTGCACTGCATTCTGCTTTGCTTATTTTAAGAGTGTTGGAGCATACTGAGACAGGAGTGGAAACAAAAGAATTGGTAAATTCAAAAATATTAGGGACTCATTGTGCTCAGAGTTGTGTGTGTTGAATGAGTTACAAGATTACCCTCTGAATCTGGCAAAGATTGCCACACTAATCTGGCTCTTCCAGGAAGAAATCTCTGCAAGGAAATCTGATAGAAGTTTTGATAAGCAGTGCTGAGAGCATGAATGAAAAAGGGAGGTGCATGTATCTCTGGTGTTTCTTGTCCTAGTACTTAATATTTACCTCTGACAAGTTATTTTCCCATCACTCCAACTGTCATGCAACTGTGCCACCTTTATTTTTTGCATTTTAAATCTGATAATGATTGCAGTTTTCATTAATTCTGCCTTCTCACGTGTCTTCTCTTAATCCCCTCTCCATGACACAGACACACATCCACCAGGATTCCAAGGGCACGGAGATTATATCTGATGTCTTTCAGTATTTGGGTTTCATGCTCCTTAAATCCTGATTTCACTTACATCTGCCTGAAAATAATTGCATAACTTTTTGTTGTACAAGGAAAACCAGTCCCTTTTACAATTCTGATCTGACACATTTTGCATGTAAGGTAAACAGAAAGAATTTTCCTTGTGTTGCTGCTGCCCTAGCAATGGGCACTGATTACATTCTGTCTAAGCCTAGTGGAGATAGAGGAAGAAGGCTGCCTGGTTTACAGTGTCTTTTCTATCTGACATAGTCTTTATTACAGTCAGATTACCTTAAAAACTCTTAGGTCTTGCTCAAGGTTTTTGTTCAGTTCTTCAGCAGAAGAAAAGCTTGAAAGCAGGATGTTTAAGGTCACATGGAGAATCCATGGGAATTACCAGTGTGTGGCAGCAAATTTGCTAGGTTGTAATGCTTGTAGACAGTGCCAATGTTTGCATAAAGACCTCAGATTACAGTCTGAGAGCAGGAAAACAGAATGGGAGTTCTTGGCTCAGGATAAGAAAAACACTTATGGAAAGCCTGAGAAGTGTGCACAAAGAGATATGATGTCCTGTTCAAAAACCTAAGCAAGATGAAAAGTTGCTAGAGAGAATAGAAAGAACATGGTGCCAGCTGGGATCACAGCTCAGTGGGGAAAGGGACATTCTTCTGCATTGCAAAAGGAGGGGATAGAAAATCATAGAGGAGACAAGCTTGGATATGTCTGTCAGATCCCTGACCAGGTCTCTGAATAGCATTAAAGTTGTGCTGCTGGGGACTGAAGCTCGTCTCTTATCACAGGGTATACCCTGAGTTCTAGCTGATTTACTAGATGGGATCCCAGATGACAGTCTCCCTGTCTTGAGCAAACTCAAATCCTATGGATCTGTCTGTAGTATTTTTTTCCCTATTTTAAGAGACATTTTTCCAGTTTGTGGAGATACAGACAGATCCCCTCAGTGAGGTGTGGGATCCACCTCAGACTGCCAGACACACATGCAAGAGTCCTGGCAAGCAGAATAGTCTGTAGAACAAGCTTACAAATATTGCAGGATCCATATCTCACCTTCCCTTGGGGCTGGTGTGCAACAGCTCCCAGGAAACCTCAGTGCAGCCAGCATGTGGAAACTAGGATAGTGAAGAAGGCAGTATAATGAGCTGTACACGTGGGTAAATAGAGTCTCTTCTTAATGCCCGAAACCTACAGATCTTTGGTATCTGAACCTCATTTGGCTTGGATAAATGCTAATGACAGCAAATTGTGCAGTGAGAAGGACACATTTCACAGAGGGACCTGCACAGGCTGGAAGGTGGGCCAGAAACAACAGCATCAGGTTTAACAAAGGCAAGTGGCAGCTCCTGGATGACACAACCAAAGAGCCCAGCACAGGCCCTGTGGCCTGGGGAGCCTTGCTGAGAGGGACCTGGGGGCCCTGGAGGACAACAAGGGGACCCTGAGCCAGCAGAGCAGGGCTGCAGCAATGAGGAAAATCAGATCCTGGGCTGCACCCATGGGGCACAACTGGCTGAGACAGAGATGGGAGCATCCCACTCAGCACTTGTCAGGCTACCCTTGGAGCATCCTGTTCTGGTCCCAGAAAATTCAAACAAAATGTGGACAGGCTGGAAAGGGTCCAGTGGAGGGCCAAGAAGTTGATCAGAGGGCTGGAAAAGCTGCCTTGTGAGGAAAGTTTGAAGGAGTTAGGACTCTTCTCCCTGGAGATAAGAAGACAGGGGGAAGGGGACAGCTGATCATAGTATTCCAGTGCCTGCAGGTGCAAAGAAGATAGAGGCTCTCTCTTCACAAGCAGCCACATGGGAGAAGAGCAAAGGGCACAAGTTGCATTGGCATGGAAGCACAGAATCACGTAGGTTGGAAAAGGCCTCTAAGATCATTAAGTCCAGTCATTAACCCAGCTACCATGTTCACTGCTAAACCATGTCCCCAATGCTCCCAGGGATAAGAGGGAAGAGAAGGAACTTTTTTACAGTGAGAAAAATCAATGACTGGAACAACCTCCCTAGAGAAATTCTGGAGTCCCCTTCGCTGGATGTTTTCAAGGTGGAATTGGACAAGGTTCTACATAATCTCATCTAGGCTTCCTCTCCCATGAAACATTGGACCAGATGATATTTCAAGGTCCTTTCCAACTTAGGCTTCTCTCCAGCTACAATACTACAATAGCAGTGGCTACTGTTTGATGTAGGAGTGGTTCACTTTTCCCACAGCAGAGGAGAAGATGAATAGCTACAGGGTGGTTTTGCACAAGCATCTGAATGCTGCCCGCTACATTTGTCACTTCCTCTCCCTGCTGCTGCTCTGGAAGACTGGGGCCCAGGAGATGCACCTGGAGGCTTTTTAAGCAGTCACTGTGAGCCAAACCACTCTTGTCCCCTCCCCACATCTCTCTTGACTCTCATCTTTTGTTCTTCCCACAGGAGAAAACATAAGCCCTGTTCATCTTCTTTATGCACGTCAACAGTTGAAGAGATGCAGAAAAGCTGGAGTACCTCACCCATGGGGGAGTGTGGGCTGGTTCAAGGAGAACAAGTAGATTTGAGAGAATAAGAATCCTATGTATTGAGAGTATGAGGGAATCTGCTGGAAGGATAGGCTAAAGGAAGAAGAGAGGAGATATCTTCCACAAGAAGTCTACTATATTGTTGAATGCTCTTGTTATACAAACGCCTACCAATTTTTGATCATGCGAAATGGATGGCAATGGGTTTCAGGAGCATTCTGCTTCTTTAATTTAGAAACAAATATATTCTCAGTGTATTTTTATATTTCAATTCGGCTGGGGGGACATATTTCCATAAAAATATAATGAAAACTGTATGTTAGTAAACATAGCTTCTTGAGCTCTCAAAGTTTTCCACCCAAGTTTGTTTTTCACCCAGTTCAAGTTCCTTGAAACATCATACAGACCAAGCCTGGTTCATTATTTTTCATACTTTTCTTCATCATCTATGCCTATACAATGTTGGTTTAGGACCCCATCAATCTGGTTGGATAGCATTTTACATCTCATATCCACAGCTGTAAACAACAGCGTGAAATCCGAGGCAGCAAAGAATCAGGCTCCACATCATAAGGAAGACTTGACTACTTGATATGTCTAGCCTGTGCTTTTATCATTTTCTTCCTGGGGTCAAAATAATTTCATGTCTCTGGATGTCTGTGTTAATTTTAATGAGTTGTTAGCTGTTATGAGTAAACTACATGTACTGCAACATTTTGAATCTAAGCATTTGAAGTAAAGAGGCAATAAATCCACGTGAACTCTTTCAGAAGAGAATGCACTTTCTAGAAATGAAAAGCAAACATAAACAGTAAAGCATGAAAGACAGAAAAGGCTGAAGGTGTTTCCCAGAAGGAGTGAAGGAAATGGTCCACAAAAAGGCATTGAAATGTTAGTCATGTGTGTTGCAGAGAATAAAAAAGTGGGGAGAGGAGGCATGTTGTGCATGTATGTCCTTGTTGAGCTGTGAATTTGCAGCAAACGAGGAAATTCACTAAGAATTGGAAAAAATGCAATAATAAATTTTCTTTGTTTATAACTTTTAACAGCATCGTGTTCTCAGAGAAGTCTCATCTTTCTTCTTATGACCTTTTTTTTAAATATGATGCCCATATTAATCTATGTTGCTGCCTATTTTTATAGGCAAATAAAGTACTCCAGTCACTTAGACAGTACAGTAACATGCATAGAAATTTCAATAACAATATCTTAACTATGATAAAAGCAACACAGCTAGTAAGGCTCACTTTAAAAATATTCTGAAAAACCTGTTTAGTCTGATTTTATAAAAGTCTTTAGAAGTATCAGAGGAAAATTTTTGTTTTCATTTTGAAGCCTCATTGCAACCACAGTTGGTCATGTTTGTGAAGATGGCATCTTAGAAATGTTCTCATCACTTCTTAAGGCAGCAGAAAGTGTCTGTGGGCAGAAGCTGAGACTCTGCAAACACATGTGCATTCAAAACACAAAAAGTGCATTCTCACTCTACCAGTTATAAGCTGTGGTGCCACACAAACAAAACCAGCCATTTTGATAAGCAAGGGCAACATTTTCATACATTTATATAATGTGCAGTATATTTTAATTCTTACCTCCAAAGATACAGCAGCTGACCAGGTACAGAAAAATTGATGTCTTCTAACTAGTTTGAAGCTTCCTGTGAGTCTGTTCTACCCCAAAATGCAATGTTCTGTTTTTATTTCCTTTTTAATTACACTTCTAAGATAACATGTGTTTTACTTCTAATCCTCTAAAGCAAAGAAGTATAGAAAGAAAGTCCCATAGGAGATGAGGGGGTTTTATAACTGACTGAACTGCAACACGCTAAACTTGCTTCCTCTTTTATGTCCAAATGAAACTTCATTGTGAAACTGTGTACTGTTAAAATAGCTGATTGCAACACACTCAGTCCAGGCAGCTGGACTGTTGTAAGAAAAAAAGCGCTGGTGAGTCGAACACTCAGAATAATCTTAGAGAATCTATTCATCTGTTGGCAGCTTACAGTGCACCCCTTTTCAGGCATCACTCTCCTTTTAGCTGACATGGCGAGACATCTTTACAGGTCAAGGTTGTCAGACCAAATAGGTTGGAAGAGTGAGGTACCAAAGCAGAAATGCATTGCACAGCAGGCCTACTTTGTTGTCTGCAGACCCTCGTACATATAATCTTCCACCAAGCAGCACAGCACATCTGCTTTCTCGTGTTTTGCTTTGGCAAACTTCACAACACTTGTCAGGACAAAAGTTCGACCTGAAAGTTAGGCCTTGTCTGTTTTAGCACTCAGTGCCAAACTCAGGAAGTTTGTCTTAGGAGGTCAGTGGATGAAAATACCTGGGGCAAGCAGGAATTCATCCACCAAGTGTGAGGTGTGAGAACAGTGAATATGGCTTTGAGATTGGTATTAGAGTATTCCTTAAGGTCAGAAGACAAATACTGTTTGAAACACATGCCTGGACTTTTTAAATTGAACCCAATAGGATATACAGATTTTGCTTTAAAAGGCACCATTATACATCCATACATTGCAATAATAAGAGAAATATATTAAAAATATATTTTAATTCTCAGTGAATTTTAACTTCCTCATTCAGTACCATGTGTTCTTCTTAGAAGCCTCCAACTCTGCCAGCCAGAAACAATACTTCTGTTAATGTCATTTTCCTAAATATTCACTATGATGCAACATATGATTGGGACTAATATCAAAGACTTCTTCCGAAGTCTTCTTAGACATAGTAATGAAAAAAGTACAAGTGTCATTCTGTCCCTACCTACACATTTGTGGCTAATTCGTACAGCAGTTTAACAAGTGGTATTGCACCCAGTCATATGCCATGCTAGGATCAACAGCATCTAAACAGCACAAAAACTGGACAACACTGGCAGTTTAATGCAAGTGTCATCAGATATCTTTGCTGTAAAAGTTCTCCCTGAGAAAACAAAGCTACTGTTGTAATAGACCAACTCTTTTATGCTCAACATTAACATTGACATGATTGTAATTTTTTCTCTGATCTCTCATTTGTACTATGGACCAATCTCAGGCCTTTTCACGTTTATACTGGCCCAACACTTTTTTCCATGTTTCCTTACCTGGATAAAATGCATTGAGGAAAGCAAGAAATTAATCTCTGTGAGGTTTTACCTCTTCTGTAGGTCTAGAGAGTTCTATATCACCAAAGCTCAATATTTCTAGTTAGACTGTTGGGAAAAAAAAAAACTTTGGTAGTATAAAAAAGCATTTCTATAAAGGTCCTCAGAGGGTTTTCAAAACATTATTTTAATAATCTAAATCCATGCAAAACCAGGAAGATACAAATGGACAGGTATTTTAAAGTGCTTCTACTGCCAGAATAGCACAGCTATCCAGAAGCACTGTAAAATCAATCTACTATCATAGATTTATCTAAGTATGGATTTAAGACTTATCTTCAGGCACCTAGATTTGCATAAAATAAGTGACCTTTTTTTTGTCATGCATGTCAAATGTTTTCAGTTCTCTAGGAGAACTCATTGTCTGCATTTCTGCATAGTAGCTTTGTGTACCTATGGAAGGGAGACATAAAACTGTAATTTCTTGTCACTGAAGTTGCACATTAACATCCTGACAGTCTAGGCTCTTACAACACCCACTTATTCTAGTAACCTTTTCCACATTCACTCCTGACCTTGGAAGAGTTATCCTCAGCTAACAAGCACTGTCCTATATGAATTTTTGCCATGTGGTTTATAAACTGCTCTGAATGCAGCAGTCTGAGGGCCAGATCCAAATCAGAATGAGCTGGGTACAACATACCAGCACGTGACCCCTTTTGCAAAGATCCCCATGTGGGCTGAGCCTCCCATGCCCAGTGAAACAGATGTGAGAGAGAAGAAAGCTTCATCACTTCAGGGAATTTTTCAGTCAATCTCTTAATCTGTAAATGTGGTTTAGATTGTGAGGCCATGCCAAATTATTTTTGTCAGTGCAATTCACTACAGCAAACCAAATATATCAAGACTGTGTATCCCTATCCACACCCTGCTCCCCCCCACAAAAAAAAAAAAAAAAAAAGAAAAAAGAAAAACATTTCAAGTAAATTACCATGTTTCCTTCTCTACCACATTATTTTACTCACAAGGAATTTCCTTGAGGAAATTGCTTTAATTTTGATCCTAAGTTGTTCTGACCCTTAGTTTTCTATTTCAGTTCAAGAGTTTATCTTCAAGACAAATGTGCCAGTTTTTTGCCCTCACTCTGCTTTGGTTGGCCTCTGCTTAGCCTGGGCCTGTTATGTCAGAGAGTGCAAAGGCAGCTGCCTGTCATTTGCAGGTGAAGTGTTTATATTCTAGGAATGATAAATTTGGATCTTTTGATAAAACAATATTCTGTAGCTTTCTGTTAAATTTAATAGTAGGAATAAGTGCATAAAATTAATCAATTTTCCTGTACATATACTCAAGCAGGTATGTACACAGTAAGCTCTCTCTGGTTATCAAATTATTTTAGCTCTATTCTTATTTGGTATGTATGTACCTTTAACCACACCACCTTTAATTTTGAAATTTAAAAGGTTAAAGATATCACCTTAAGCTTATGACCTAGTTTATAAGTAGGTCCTATTTGTGCAATAGGACAAAAGGGATATTTTCAAACCTTTGGATCTTTGGAAGGAAAGATTTTATGGGAAAGAGATAAGCATGTTATCCAGTACTCCATCATAAAAACAATAATGAATTATTTATATTCCTTACAGCAGCAAAATCAGATACATTTCAAGCTTTCCAGTATATGTAGAAGTTTAATTTGACTTGAACTGAAAACCCAGTTTTCAATGCATTCATTACACCAGTATAATCAATCATTTGAGTAAATGAACAGTCTTTAAACAGGGAAGAGCCTTCATCATATACAGTTATTTTTCCTCTTCCTTCATTGCTGGTAGTAGACTGATCTACTACCAGCAATGAAGGAAAAGGAAAAATGAAGGTAGTAGGTAGTAGAATGATCTACGTAGATCAGTAGAATTCTCAGCGTAAAATGTGATTCCCATCTTTCAAATGAGTGCCAGGCAAGTCTGGTTTTGCGATATCTCAGTCCAGAGGGAGTCTCCTGGATTAATTACTCCAGCCCTCTACTTGCTGTGTGGAAAAAAAAATGGTTGTGACATCATTCTCTTGGCCATGCATTTCCAAGGAGGAGAAAAAGACCATGGATACACAGACAGCCCTTGCATTCTAGAAAAGGTGAAGGAGTTTTGGTGCCCACACATATTTGCTGTTGCCAGCTGTCCATGGCCAGTGATTGCCCACACAGCAATGAGAAGTCTGGCTGTCCCTGGGGCCCGTGGCCCTAACTCCAGGAACTCATGCAGCACAGCACCTTCCATGTAGTTATATCCATCAAGGTCTGCACCCAGAGTATGATGCTTCAAAGTGAAGCAATTGTTTCATCACACAAAACTGACCACTAAATCTTTTAGTTAACTACAGAGGCATTTGTAATTAAAATACAAATAAGGTAATAATAGGCAACATTTGCTGCTTTTTGTGCTACTTCTAGTCCATTAAATATACAATTTATTCCTGTGTTAAATTCCTTTTCTCCTTCGTGCATCACATAAATATTTAGTTATATGTAGACATTGCTAAGGTTCAATCTATGTACAAATCAAGGAAACAAAAGCAAGGCCTTTGATATGAGAAAATTATAAGCAAGAACATTGCACCTTCTGATAAAATCTCCAAGGCCAAGGGGAATTTGCTTTGGGAAGTGATAACAGTATTGGATATAGCATATTGAAACTGATCTACATTATATTCCCAGCACTGGTCTTTTGTAGTTACAAGTAGCCAATTAGTGAAGTCTTTTTAGTTCACGTTCTTTTCTTCTCTCACTAATTTGCACTAACTAGGAGATTGATCTTGACACAGTTCAGAAATCTTTCCCTTCGGTCTCAACCTCTCTTCATTCATAGCACCTTATTTACTTTTAGTAGTCAAACTGTTCTGCCCATATCCTTTTGTTTTAATGATCACAAATGGTCACTGATGTATTCTGAGCAAAGTACCTTATTGTACAAGTGATCCCTCTGATGGCAGACACAATCCTGAGGTTTCCATGCATAACAGCACATAAACCTTTAAGCCTTTAAGCAGAGCAGGAATCATCCTGTAAAGCATCAGAAGGCAGCAGGCTGGGTGAACTGCTCTCTTTCCACTGTCTGTGTCTGGACAGAAGCAAAAAACTTCTCATCTTTTTTTTTTTTTTTTTTTTTTTTTTTTTTTTTTTTTTTTTTTTTTTTTTTTTTTTTTTTTTTTTTTTTTTTTTTTTTTTTGTCTCCTTACTAGTACCATGATAACTTAGAAACGGATGGTTTAAAACCAACAAGAATACCTATATCTAAATACTACCTACTTTTTAGCACCCTCAACTAGCAACATGAATAAAAGGTGGTCTAGAGTGTGCAGATATAGAAATATATTTACTGAAATCCTGATGCACACCACAGATACTGTGCACAGCTTGATACCCCAGAGTCTGATGCACTTCAGTCAGCAGCAGAGAGGAGCCTGACTCTCAGCACACTGTAGAAAGTGTAAACCACAACTGCTCCTCAAGCAATGAAGCAAATTATTCCCCAGCTCAGCAAATGGCATTATCAGTACCTACCTCTCATGTTTGCACCTTCCACATCTTGTTAGACAGTCTTCTGGGGTCATTTTTTAAGCTTCCCAGGATGCACACATTAGTTGTGATCCTTTCACAGAATTTTTGTTATGGTAGGCCTCATCATTCCTTCAAAAGTCAAATTTTAGAGAGGAAGTTTAACAATTACTTTTTTTTGGGGGGA